TGTCATAAAAAGAATATTTTAAAGCCTGTTTTTCTTATGGATTTTTGTTAGTTTACACTCTGTACAGGTTTTGATTTACCTTTGGTTATGTTTCATGTAGTTAATTCACATTTTAATTCAAACAGAGTTGCTGTACATTTCTTAATCCATCAAAGAGATAAGATGAACATTCCATTGCAGAAAAGACAAAAGACCTTGGGGAAAATTCTTGCAGTAGAATTGTGGCTCGTAACTGATAGCAATTACTAATGACCAACATTCAATCCAATGAGTGCTGCACTGATGACACCTAGTCCTGATTATGCTTCAGGACTTCACTGTGTGGAACTCTTGGTTAGAAGTGGGTAACAAAACTTCAATGCTTTTGAATCATCAGGTCCAATTTTAAACATAAAATAGAAGCCTGAAGAATAATTAACTATTTCTTTGGCAAAGGTCTGGGTCATGCAAGGCTGCATTGCAAAGCAAGGGGGGGGTTTGCATTTCCAGTTAACAGACACTGTTGTTGCAGCTTCTAAAAATCAGTTTGTGGTGTTCCAGTGTGGAGTGCCTTTCTGAGTGATTACCTGGGAGAGTGGAACGGATGCTCTCTGTTCAAGGCATTTGAGTTTTCATTGTCCCACAACACATGGAGGATTTGGGGCTGTGGCTTGATCCTTTTGGTCACTATGAAGTTACCCTGTTCCAGCATGGCCGAGTCAACCGCTCACCTCCTCAAACTGCTTGAGGTCAGTTATGTAATTGCTCTTTGCAGATAAGAATTAATTAGCCTGATTATTTTTCATAGCTTTTGGATGGCTTCCCCACCTGGAGAGGAGCTACTCCTCTGTGTCAGTGACTGATTGCTGAGCCAGAATCTTTCTGCCTTGCACTTGTAAGAAGTGCTGACTGTTTCTCTGGGTTGTGTTAGGAAGCAGGCAGCCTGTGGTTAGAATGCAAAGGATAATAAAGCAGTTCTACAAACGAGCTGGCCAGCCCAGCGAGCTGCTGGGTGGCTTTGGCTTCTGCAGTGCTCATTTCCCTTCTGTCCCAGGTCAACACCACATTAACAAGTGGCAGGTCAGGTAGCTGTGTTTGTCCTCCTCCCCATTCCTCCTACAAAAAATGTGTTCTGGATGTCTTAGGTTTTTAAAGAGCATTTAACTTTACAGCTTTATTACTTAAAAGGTGTGAAAGTCATCCATAAAGTAAAAAATGCTAACATTTGAGGTATAGCGGTTTATTTTCTCCTGTTATTATTAAAGTCACTTCAGAAACTGGGTGTATCTGGAAAGCTTCCCACCATCCCAGCCATTTGCTGTTTTCAATATTTTGCAGCAATTACACAGTGCCTTTTTAACACTTTTCCCTTGACCAAAATGCATTTGTGAGAAGATGACTAAATCACAGCATGAGTCCTGCTAAGTTTTACACACGTTGTTAAATTTAAGCATGTAAAGAGCTCCAGGATAGTTATTGGGATTACTCAAAAATGTGGCTGCGGGTTTGAGGCTCTGCTGGAGGAAGCTGTTACTGCTTACAAGAGGCTTCTCACCTTGGGAAAGGAAAAAATGTGCTTGTCAGGGATAGTAATATGGGAAATCTTTCTTCATTCAGTTGTGCAGGGTCCAGTATTTGGAGGGCTCATTTTATTATATCACACGTGAATGTTACTGAAGTGGTTCTGACAATTAACTTTGTAGGATTTTGTTTACTAAAAATCAAATCTCACTGGAAGCCTGAGACACTTACTGTAATAAAAAGATTATGGATAGCTCCTAATAGCTTTTAAAAGCTGTTTAATTGCTGGTTGTGTCAAAGTAAGCAATTAAGGTCACTTAATCTACTTGATTATTCATCATATTCCTCTAGTAGTACTCTGTGCTTGGGATCTGTGAAAATGTGCATCTTTAGAAGCTGCTGCACTCATTCATAGCCCTCAGTACAGGGCACGTGTAATAAGAAAGAAAACTTCATTCTGTGGCAGTGCTAGCCCCAGCACAAGTAGCTGTAAATGAATGCCCTTGTGTTGCTACAGCAGGAGCTTCAAGGAAAAATGAAAAATCTAAAAATGTGTAGTCAATTAAAGGCAGGTTGGTCACATAAAACAGTATTAATGGATTAGCTCTTAGATGGTACTTACACATTTCTATTAACCTCAGGCCAGATTATTTTAAGATTAGATGATAATAGGTGCTTAATTTCTGTGATGCAGTCAGATGCTGCTGCATAATATGATGGGCACTGGATAACATTGGGTTACTTGGCATGAAGTAGAAAAATGGAAGAAGTGCTCTGAGAGCTTGTTTAGTGCCAGTGGAGTTTGTTGGGATGATTACATTTTGGTCAGCAGCTTCATTCTGTCCTGAATAGTTAAGGTGGATGTAAGGCAGACAGAGAAAAAGGCCTTTTGCTTTCAGTCAGCTGTCAGGGGAAAAAAAAGTGTGAAAGAGGATGTATCTGCAGTGCAGCTCTGACATCAGGGCCAGGTTTTGTTCCAGGAGTGGATTTTTGGGGAACTCGGACACCCAGAACAGAGAGAATGTTCTGTCAGTGTGAGCTGTTCACCACATGTGCCTGCTCTGATTCCTGCTCTGTGCAGCACGGAGCAGACCTGCACACGGGCAGGTCGGGCTGACCTGTGCCTGTGCTGTTGTGATCACAAAGAACGTGACTAAATCCCCTCCAATTTAGAAAAACATGGACAGAAGGATCTCAGCCGTCTTCTTGAAATGAACAGAGCTCCTGACAATGGGGTCTGGTGTTTGCTCTGCAGTGCTGCTCCTGCAAAAGCAAACAGCCCTATTGGTGTTCAGTTCCTTTCCAAGAGCAGCTTAGTGATGGTGGGACCCGTGAAAAGACATTTTAGAGCAGACAGATTGCAAAACTTCAGCATTCCGTGTCAGTGGCTGTGTTCTCTGTGTTCTGTATGAACAGGACAGGATTTATATCAGCTTTGTGAATTCAGTACTGCTTGTTATTAATGAACTAATACAAATTAAGAAAGCTGCGATTCACAAACAGAAAATGGTGAAGGAGCAGCAGTGCCTTGAAGTTCTGCAAACTGAGCAACCGTCAGGGTGGTGAAAAGCACTGCTGGCCTGATGGAAATTCACCTGGCTGCTCTCCCATTCTGCCGGTTTTCTCCCTCTGCAGGCGTGGGGTGTGTTAGGAGATGGCAATCCATGGGCAATTCCAGCCAGCAGGGCCCTGAGGATCCCAAAGCCATTGTTAGCAAAGCAGGCACAACATTTCTGGTGCCAGCAGAGCCAAGGGATAAAAACAAGCTGAGAATCAGGGAGTCATAACTGCCTCTCTGATGCTCCACATTTTCTGTGCCAAACATATGTTGGTATAGAAGAAAGTCTGATTCTAAATACCAAAGTGTGGGCAAGATTTAACTAAAGTTTTCTGTAAAAGAAACCAAAGCTCTAAACTGTTGCTATATTTTACTGCATCTGCTGTGCATATGAGGTTGTGTAAATGGACTGAACCAGTATGGAATTGTGTTGTAGCTGCCTATAAGAATTGCTGATACAATCCTAAGGGTAAAACTAAGGTTTGCCATTACTTTGCAGGTAGCTGGTACCATATTCAGTTCCTAAGCATTCACAAAATAGTTCTACAGTTGAAGATCTGCTGACTCAAATGTGCAAACCCAGAAGTTTCAATTTCAACTTTACTGCTGGGTGCTTGTTAGCACTTTGACTGGTTTTTTGGCTAAAGTGTAAAAATGTTTAATGTCTTCTGAATTCACAGAATGGTTTAGATTGGAAGGGACCTAAAGTGCATCCCCCTGCCATGGGCAGGAACACCTTCCACCAGACCAGGCTGCTCCAAACCTTGTCCAACCTGGCCTTGAACACAGCTGGGGATTGGGCAGCTACAGCTTCTCTGGGCAGTTATTTTTATTAATAAATGTGAGCTTCAGTACTGTAAAAACCCCAAACAGCACAACCCTTTTCTCAGCAAACCACGGTGAGGTTATGGAGCTGTTATGGTGACATGTTTGTAGTGCCTATGTTGGTAAATAAGCATGAATACATTTTAGCACCCTCTTCACAGTTTATAGCCAAGAGTGTTTAACTGTTTACTTTTCAGTTTTGACAGTGCCTGGTCCCTGTAACAATAAGTATTTGGATCAGGTAAAATATTTTCACTGCAGATGCTGTAATTTGAACTCTGTAAAATTAATGCCATATTTTTTGGTAGCCCGCACCATTTTCAAGTCAAACCCAGATGGATTCTCACCTAGTGTGTCCACGTTATTACCTGTGCCATGCCCTCGGAGCAGTGACATTCAGCACTCGGTGTCTGGGTGTTCGTGCCAGGTCACTCGCTGGCTCCTTGTGCCCCAGTTCCTCTGAGAAAACTGGGGCTGAGCCGAGGTGTGTGCACAGACACAGCCCGGTTCACCTGCAACTTGTACATTTGAAGCACTCTGCTGATTTTCCATGAATGTTCCAAAACGGACAATGCGGGATTACCTTTAGGTTTAACATAACCCTCAAAGGGCTGTCAGATCAAACTTTTATTATTTGATAATACGGTGAATTTGAGCAGTTACCCAGCCCCCTCCTAGTGGTTCTTGCTCACCCTCTAGCACTATTTATCTACTTGTATTTATTCCATTCTCGATTCTTTCCCCTCTCCCCGCGCCCGGTGCCCTTCTGCCGTTCTGCCCCGTGCCCGGGCGCTGCTGGCGGACGGCAGGTGCGGGGCCCGCGTCCCCGCCGGAGGCTGCAGGTGCTCGAGAGGGAGGGAAGGGGGCGCGGGGGCCGTCCCAGCGCCGGCCCCGTCCCAGCGCCGGCCCCGTCCCAGCGCCGGCCCCGTCCGTCCCGTCCCGCCCGTTCTCCTCCCCTCGCAGCCGGCGGGCGGGAGGCGCTGCCCGGGCAGCTCCGCCCCGCTCCCCGCGCGCGGCTCCGCTCCGCGTTTTCCGGGCCGCGCCCCTGCGCTCGTGCGCCGACACTCGGACGTGCGGCGCCGGCGCCGCTCGCCATTGGCCGCGCCGCGCTAGCCCCATGGGCGTGCGGGCCGCTGATTGGCCCCGCGCGCTGTCAATCAGCGCGCGGCTGCGTCAGGGCCGGGTGCGCGGCCCCGTTCCCTGCTGTGTGCGGGGCCGGCGCGGGGCCGGTGCGGGCGGGGCCGCGCCTCGCTCGTCCCTCGCTAAGATGGCGGCGGCGGCGGCGGCGGCCGTGGCGCGGCTCGAGGGCCGGGAGTTCGAGTACCTCATGAAGAAGCGCTCGGTGACCATCGGCCGCAACTCGTCGCAGGGCTCGGTGGACGTGAGCATGGGCCACTCCAGCTTCATCTCCCGCCGCCACCTCGAGATCTTCACCGCCGCGCCCCCGCCGCCGCCGGCCGGCGCGGACGGGCCGCCGCCCCCGCCGCAGGGAGACCCGGCGGGCGGAGCGGGGGGCGACTTCTACCTGCGCTGCCTCGGCAAGAACGGCGTGTTCGTGGACGGCGTGTTCCAGCGGCGCGGGGCGCCGCCGCTGCAGCTGCCGCGAGTGTGAGTACGCGGGGCCGGCGCTGCGGGGCCCGCCGGAGGCCGCGGGTGCACATGGCGTGTGACAGGCGAGAGCGGCCCCGTCCTGCCCGCGCCTCCTCGGCCGGCACCGCCCGGCACGGCCGCCGTGCCCTCCGCCGTGTCCTTCCTCCGCCGCAGCCCCGCACGGCGCGGCCCCGGCGCTGCCGAACAGACCCGGGTACACCCGGCGTACCCCGGTGCTGTCCGCACCTCGGGCGAGACCTGCCGGGCGGCTCTGCCCGGCTTGAGGATCTCTTCTGGGGGAGCCCTGTAGCCCCCTCGGTGCTTTGGCAGAACCGCGGGGTTCTTCTGGTTTTGGTGGTAGTTTGTGCTGCTTTGCCTCATCTTAACGTTTATTCTTACGGGTAAACGGAATAATCCACGTGAAATGCTTCTGCTGGCCTTAGCGTTTGAAAATGTTTTCGTTACGTGACAACAAATGTATTAAGAGGTTTTAAACGGTAATACATTCCTTTGCCATTAGCAAACATTAGCTGTCTGTGCAAAATGATTTTCTAGGGCAATACGTGAGGCCTGCCCCCGACATTTCAGGCTGTGTTGAAGTGTAAATAAATGATCTGTGCTCTGAAGAGTCACATGTAGGAAAAGTGAAAGTGTTTTGGTTTAGTGTATTTTAGCTGCCTTGACTAAGAAATACCTCAAACGTTACGAGTGCTGTAGCTTTATAAAGCACATGCCATCAGTGACACAGTCTTAATGCCCTATGAGCCTTTAAACTGTGTTTAAGACGCTGATGGTGTGTATTTTCTGCTGTGTCGGCCTGATATTAGTTTCTTACCTGGTTTCTATGTGAAAATCAAATTGTCTTACCTTGCTGCTTTCTAGGAAATGCTCATTCTGAACGACTTTAACAGTGCCAGTGTGTAGTCCTGAATATAGTTGAAGGACTTGTTTGACCTTTAACTGTCAGTTCTATTTTTGCTTTCTGCTTTTAATATTAATAATTATTTGGCATGTGGTTAATCTGTGTTTTAGTCTAACACATTTATGAAATGTAGATCAAATAATTTTTTTCTTTGTAAGCACTGCAGTATAATATACTATTTGTAAGCACAGTTGTGCATGATCTGTGTCCATTTCAAACAGCCTAGAATTAGTTGGAGTAATTAAGTCAGTAACATTCTTTTAAATGTTTAAGACTTGAGAAAAAGAGAAGTACTTCTTCATGCTGACCACTGATTTGTAATTTATTCTGGTTCTTTCCATCAATGTCACTTTTCAAGTGGAAAGAAGATTCAGAAGGATTTTTTGTCTCACTTTTTTATGGAACAATGATGAAAAGTTGTATGTAGTTAAAATTTCTTCAGCGGTGAACGTGGGTGGTGGTGCAGGAACTGGCATTTGCCGTGTTCAGAGGTGACACCGTTCCTTGGGCTGTGCACACACAGCCCTCAGTTCCCAGAGCTGGTGGAAGTGGTAAATCCTGGTTACAGGTTGGAGGTGTAGGCCAGTAAATACAAGGTGCCCCTGGCCTGGAGCCGGAGCCATGCAGGGGGTGAGCATCACCTTGAAGGGCAGGAAGAGTCTACAACCCCAGAGTTACACTGGTGTTTAATAGCAACTGCTGTTTTGTTGCTTTATTAAAAATAAACCTGTTTCTAAAACACAAGTCTCACTGGGGGTGAATGGGGAAATAGTAGTTTCATTATTTGCAAAGCTTTTTTTTTTTGAACAGTAGTCTCCAGGCAAATTCAAGGTACTGTCTCCTCTAGGAAGTCCTTACTGTGGCTTGCTGATGACTAATATTGTTTGTAGTCCTGTTCTTGAGTTTTGTTGTAGATTTAACTGGTCACACTGAAGGTGGCCTCCTGGATTTTAAGAGTCAAACTTACTTACTACATATAATGTCAACATTAATTAATGGTTGAGGTGTGATGGGAAAGAAAGTAGTTTTGGTGTGAGCTCAAGATTGATGATTGCCAGCCTCCAGCTCAAGTAATCACCAGATCTATTTTTGTTGTTCTTTAATCCTACTCTGTTGCCAGTAATAAATATGCTTTGCCTATGACTACACAATCATTAGAATTTTAATGGCAGGTGAAGTTTTAAAAAATTCAGGGTGGCCTGTTCCTTCTGTTTGTTTTTAAGTGATCCTGGAAACCAAGAATGGGGGGTCCATCTCTGTTTTGTCTGATTAATAGTGACTTACAAAGGTGCCAAGTGCAATACTCTTACAGACTTGAAATGTCTTGTTTGCTTGTCACTAATAATTGTATGTAGTTCCAGTGTCCTTGGCCTTTTTTATTTGTTTGAGCACAATGCTTAAATTTAACTGCATTAATAATGTTACTGAACTCCCTGGTTTTGGAAGGAAAAAACAGAAATACACCTTGGTAGTCTCCTGCAAAACACAAATTTTAAACATCTGGGGAAATTTAATTATTAATGTTAGTGTGTACACTTACCTGTAATAAAGGCATCTTTTTTCTGCAGATAGAAATGTCATGAAACATGGAATTACTGTGCCTTAAGATAAGTGTTCTGGTTGCTATTTTTAATGCCTCCCTGGAAGCCTCACTGGCAATTCAAATGTTGAAGTTATCAAGCAGGAGGTAATAGCAGTGGGAAGTGTGTTTTTGTTTTTGCAGTTCTTGACAGACTCCCATCCCTACTTGTGTATGTACAAACCAGCTGTCGTCTTGTGAGATGAATCAAGTGGGGGTGGGGAGAAAAGAGCCATTTTTGAGTGTGTCCAGCAAGGAGCTCTCCTGTCAATGTCATGGCCCACATGGGAAGAAAGAGGTTGCAGAGACTCCTGCTCAAGACACCCAAATGAAAGCAGTGCAATTATTTTTCTACAGCTGCCTTTGAGATGCACAGACTGTCCCTCTCCGGTTCGTAAAGTTCATGTTTTTTAATTGCTTTCATTTGCTGCCTGTGGAATTTCCCCTGCCTTCAGTGAAAGCATTGATTGGATATATTGCTAGGTAAATCATAACATCAATATTTGCTTTTGAGGTACTTGGCTGGAAGAATACCTTTTGTGCTGGGCAGAGCAGCGGTTGCTGTCGGAGCTGTTGTGTACAGCTTTTGGAGAGGCAGGATTCCAGACAGATGTAACTGATACAGCTGGAAAAACAGACAGACTTCTGGGTACAACTGCTCTGAAGGACTGCTTTTGTTTTGTTTTGATTTTTGGGTTTCTCGGATGTGCTTTGTGTGTTGGCCTTTGAATTCAAAGAACTCTGGACATTTTGGACTTAACTGTTCTGAGGCAGTCTTACTCATTTTGACAAACACATAGATTTTGTATTTTAGTCATTAGTTTTGGTTTTGCTTTTGTGGAAGTAATTTATAATTCATAAGCAAGATACCATGAACATAGGAACAGCATTTTTAAGTCAGATCACAGATGCATTTAGTCCATGACCTGCCTTCAGGAGTGGTCAGTAGCAGATGCCCAGGAAAGAGCATAAAAATTGATTAATAGAAATGGTTGTGTTTCCCTTGGTTTTTCTTTTTATTCCAAAGTCAGAGTTCACTTCTTTTTGAGATAAAATAATTTACTGTTTGCAATTCTTCTTTCTCTTCTAGTACTTGAGTTTGGGTAAACCTCTTTTATCCACAGTGTCTTTGGGTAGTAAATTCTGCAAAGTAATTGGAACCCATGTTGGGAAAAATACCTCTTTTTGCCAAGTTTTTGGAAATTGATGCCTGATAATTTCATTTGATCCAACTGAAGCTCTTTTATAGTAAGAGACAGTAAATAACTCTCCCATTCTGTCATTCTGCAGACTTCTTTACATTACTAAGTGTGGGTGCTCTTACAGTAAATGACATCAAATACATTTTACTTTAGCTTAACATTTACTGACTAATCCTAAATTAAACATATGTAGCTGAAAACTAAAATTTAATTTGTATTCTTCTGCTTTTCCTCCTGGTAATACAGAGGGCTCAATCAATAGTTTTAGCTTGGTCTTGTAGTCTGGGGCTACAAACTGGGCTTATTGCTGCCTTTAAGCAGTAGAAATTCTCCTGCTGATGAAAACAGGTCGATTCTGAGCAATGACCAAGTGTATCTATTCCCTGAGTCAATTATTTGGAAAAGTTTATTGTGCTCAGTGTTACCTGCCCAGGAAACAGATTGTCAAGAGCCTCAAATATATCAGTGCACTTTTTTCTGTCATCTAATTGCAGTTATTTCAATTATGGGCAAAGTTGTGATGTCTGTGTGGTTGGAGCTGTGACTACATGTCCTCCATGGAAATTTCTTACTGGAAACATCTGCAGTTTGGCTTAAGAGTGGAGGTGAAAGGATCATAACATTTCCTTGGGTAGCGTTCCATGGTAGCTAAGGAAGAACATACATTACTTGAGTTTGAGTTATGATTTATTTTCTAAAGGTTTTCTTATGAATAGAACTGTTAGATACTTTGAGCAATCAAACAAAACACATGCTTGAAGGAGTTGGTGTTAATATATTCTTGCAGTCTGTCCTGACAGCATGCTGTGAGTCCCTCAGGCCCTGTGGGCACCTGCTTTCTCCCTTCCTTGACACCACTTCTGACAGAGCAGCAGCTCCTCAGGGCGACAGCTGCCTGAAAGCTGGGACACCTTGGGATTCGTGGGACACCTTGGGATTTGTGTTCAGAGGTGTATTTGGAGCTCCATACCTGCTGTATTAAATCTATCAATTACAAATTATCTCAGAGCATGAAACGAAGGAACATTGGACTTGGCTGTGACTTGACAGACTCCAGAAACTTTTATTTACCGGTCCTGTGCCATAGGGACTAATAAGGTCAACGGGGCTGTGTTTATAGGTGGGTTTTTGGCTACTTTAAAGTAAGATTTGCAAATGTCAAGCTTAGTAGAAGCAGTGTTCTCACTTTAGCAGATCTGATTGAAAAGGAGCGTAGGAGGAAGGTAGAGCACATATGATTTGAAATGAAAATAGAGATGAGCGGGAAGTTTCTATAGTAATAATTTGTGTTACAGTTGTTTCTGTCATCTCTTTT